AAAGGTTCAGGGAAGGCAGGGAAAATACAGTCCAGGCAGTCTGAAGACTCCCAATCCACTCTCTAAACGCTGGGAGGAGTGAGGAAGCAGACAGGCACCCTTTTCACTGGCCAACAGTTAACTGAAAGTTCACATTTTGCACTTTCCCTGCCTCCCACGTGGGTTCTTTTCAGTTCGTAACTCAAATCTAAGTATGTAAGTCAAGTCAATATTTTCCTATGAGAGTGGTTCTTAAGTCAAAATGTTCTTAACTCAAGTCGTTCTTAAGTCAAGACCCCACTGTAGTTCTTTCTCCTTGTAACACATTGTCAATATAAAAATTCCATTAACTTCAACTCTGTATGTCCAATGGGTGAAGGGGGAGTATCTGATAGTCTAGACAAGATCATTAGCTCCTGACTTCTCTTGCTTCTTGTCCATGAGCAAGTAATCATGTGTAACTAGCAGTGCTGTTATCTGTGACAGCTATATTTCATCGCTGTAGAGAATGACCTTATATATCAGATGTCCTGAGATAGTCTGTTTATAAACGCATAAAGCTGGTTATGCTAAAAAGCCAAATTAAAGGTCACATTGGAGATGTGTGGGGATTCTTACTATATAAACTTTGACTTTATAGCTGCTATGAGGAGAAAAGAAGCAGGGAGTTGATTTTCATTGGGAAAGAGATGTGGGGGTGAACCTGGGCTGGCTTTCTATCTCCACTTGAGGCAAGAAGACAGCTACTGCCCCACATACCATTGCTGCTATCTCCTGCCTGCTTCTCCGTCTGCCCCTACCTTCTCCTCTTGCTGTTGCTTACTTCTATCTTCTCTTCCCTGCTACTGTTGCCATCTCCTTTCCTAACCCTAACCCCGACTCTTCACCTCTTCTCATCTCTTCACACAGACGTACACATCCCATGCTGCAGCCGTCTCCATCTTATTTTCCTTCTGCCATCCCCTCTTTCCCATCCCCTCTTTCCCATCTTCTGTTTCACCGATACCGCTCTTGCCTCTTCTCATCTCATTGTCTCTTCCTTCTCCTTCGCTTGTTTTAGGGACCGCAACACAGGAGTTCCATGGAAAGCAGTGTAGTGCAAACGTCTCCCCACAGCCAGCTGTTTTCTAAGAGCGAGACTCAGAGAACCTCTCAGAGCCAGGCATTGCCTGTGGTCTCTCCAAAAGAATCACCTGTGCTGTGTTCCTACAGGTGCCACAGGTGGTCTACAAACAGTCAGTCAAAAATGCCTGCCTCTGAGAAATCCTCAAAGCTTGGCAACTAGAAAATAGCCACTTTCAGAGAGCTGTGTAATGAAGGAGGAGGAGCGCTCCACTCTGTAGTGGTGGGGGAGGGGAAGTGGCAAATGTGCTTTTTTGTCCATCTGTCCTCTGAGATGCCTGTCTTAGGGCATGTTTGTTTGTTTGTTTGACTTATACTGCCCACCTGGCTGTGGCGGTTTACACATTAAACAAATATCTCATCAAAGCAGAATTTAAAGCAATAAACATAATAATTGTAAAATCAAAATGAAATACATACACATGAAGAAATTTAATTGAAAATAATTAAAATTATATGGGAGCAAGGTGGCAGGATATTGGAACACCAAATTGGGAGGACTTGTCTTTGCTTCAATTTGCTTTGAAGCCTGTATTGCATTTAAAATCATAATCACCCCTGTTTTGGGGGTTCAGTCTTAACATTGGCTATGCTGCAATTGGCATTCCAGCCCACAGTCTCCCCTTCTTTCCCTCCTTCCTCTAGCCTTGCCTTTATTTTGGCTAATGGTAAGACTGGTCTTGTGACAAAGAGTTGAACCCATATTTCATAACTCTCAGTACTCTGGTCCATGGTGCCCAGCCTTCTCACATTCTTCACAATAATGTTTAAAAGACAATACAGTCGTGCCCCACTGTTGGAACACCAAATTGGGAGGACTTGTCTTTGCTTCAATTTGCTTTGAAGCCTGTATTGCATTTAAAATCATAATCACCCCTGTTTTGGGGGTTCAGTCTTCACATTGGCTATGTTGCAATTGGCATTCCAGCCCACAATTTTCGCTTTACGATGATCAAAAACAGCTAATCGTCAGGATTTCAAAATGGCCACTGGGTGCTTAAAATGGCTACCCACTGTGCTTAGGGACGGATTCCTCGCTATACAGGCAGCGAAAATGGCTGCCGTATGGAGGATCTTCGCTGGACGGTGAGTTTTTACCACATTGGAATGCATTGAACGGTTTTCATTGTGTTTCAATGGGGTTTTTAATTTCGCTTTACGATTTTTTCGCTTAACGGCGATTTTCCTGGAACGGATTATCGTCGTTAAGTGAGGCACCACTGTAATGTTACCTCAACTTTGGGAGATAATCCATGTAGCTTCCATTTTGGCTTTGTTTTCAGTCCCAAGTCAGATCCCTAAAGCATCTAGCGTTGTCTCCTCTGACTGGCAAAACTGACAAGTTCTCCTCCGCCTTGCTGTCTAAGACCATTTAAACAGAAGATAGCAAGAATTAAACTTGGAAATTCATGCATGCAGAGGACAGCCTTTTCCAATGATCTGAGGATCCTATGTAAACAGAGTTTTCTGTTTACATAAAAACCTTGTGAGAACAACATCTGAATGGCAGCATCAGTAAATATACTCTCACTTCAGTTGATTTTTCTTATTAAACTAGATGCTGAAAGACATAAGGTGGTGATGATAGCGTAATAAACTGCATTTCAAAATCCTAAACATAGAAATAAACACAATTTGGACTTTGTACAGAATATATCCTATGACCTGAAACATATCCTACCTTAGGTCCCCATTTCAGTTCTATGACCAGGTAATCAAAATTTATTTGATTTGATTTAAATATTTTCCCCTTTTTCCATCACCAGGAAACAGTATGGCCGCTGACTCTTGGTTCTTAATCTCTCTGTGTTTGGGTATCAATAGTGCAACCAAAATATGATTGTTATGAATTATTCCAATTACTATTTCATGGGAAGGGTTAAAGTGTATTGTATGTTAATCCTCAGCTGTTAAGTTCAATTCAAGGGATTTTTAAGAGGAGATCTTAAAATAGATCACTATCTCTCTCACAGAACTGACCACTGTCCAACAAAACATGTCAACTATACAACATAGTTATGATGATTTGGGAGCAGTGCTGAAGGAAAAAATATCTGAATTGGAATCAATGCTTTTAAATATGCAAAATATTCAAGAAGAGTCAAATTCAATGATAGACTGGTTACAGAAAATGGACACTGCTGCAGCTAAATGGGAAACAGCTCTTCTTGACACTGAAGCAGTTAAAGAACAAGTGGAGCAACATAAGGTAGCTCTTTCTGCTTCTTCTTTCTCAAATCATTTAAGTAAAATTAATTTTTGATTTTAAATCGATATATGATATTGATAATGCATGTGCCAATACTGCTATTCCGTTATCACTTTGTGTTGACCCTACAAAAGGGTTAAGAAGATGTCTCAGTGAAGTGTGTATTCTGCCAAATATGTGTGTTGTATGCTTTTTAAAGCCTAACATGTTCATTCTTGGTCAGCTGTTTGAAACAGAATTGAAGCAGAATGAAAATAAAGTGCAAGAGCTGAAGGACAGAGTCACAGAGCTCTTAGAGAAGAACCAAGAGTCTCCTGAGGCACCAAAATGGAAACAGATGTTGAATAAGATTGGTATGGTATTGAAGAAGTTCATTACTTCATTTGTTTCACCAGAATCAACACAACTGGCTTTATTTTAACACCTCAAACAACACTGTACATCTTGCATCATTCTGTATACCAGCCTTCTCTTACTTGCTGTTCTCCAGAATATCTCTGGAGGACAGTAGGTTTAGGAAAGCTGATCTCTACGACTACAATAATTACCTGCTGCAGTCCTGTCCCAGCTGGAGACTTTGCCTAAATTCCTGTATGCAGTTATATACAGTCATGGCCAAAAATATTGGCATCTTTGCAATTCTGTCAGAAAATGCAACCCTTCTCTCAGAAAATTGTTGCAGTTGCAAATGTTTTAGTACTCACATGTTCATTTCTTTGGTTTGTGTTGGAACAACACAAAAAACAGAGAAGAAAAGTCAAATCTGTTACAATCCCACACAGAAACCCAAAAATGCACTGGCCAAAAGTATTGGCACCCCGTCTAAATTGTAAGAACTAATTGCTTTTCAAGCATGTGATACTCCTTTAATTTGTATTTAGACACACCTGTCACAAGTAAGAGGTGTGGGCAATATGGTAATCACACTTGCAACCAGTTAAGATGGAGAAAAGTTGACTCAACCTTTGTGTTGTGTGTGGCACTGAGGATGGAGAAAAGAATGAAGTGTAAAGAGTTGTCTGTGGATTTGAGAGAAAAATTGTGGGCAAACATTGATAGCCTTTTCCCCCTGCCTTTTTCTGTTCGTGTGTGGAAGCTCTGGTCGCAAGTAGAAGCAAAATGTTGCGGCCAGAGCTGGTCGTAACTCAAAATGGTCATAAGTAGCAACGTTCGTAAGTTGAGGCACCACTGTATTCCTGTGCCCACTGTGTGCAATATCATCAAGAGGTTTACAGCCCACGGCACTGCAGCCAACCTCCCTGGGGGTGGACAGAAGAGCAACATTCCTGAAAAATTACAATGAAGGGTTGTTCGAATGGTGGATACAGAATTCAGATTAACTTCCAGACAAATTCAAGGTGATCTGCAGACACAGGGTACAACAGTGTCAGCTCACACTATCCATCGCTATCTAAATGAAAAGGGACACTATGGTAGGAGACCCAGGAGGACACCACTGCTGACACAAAGGCATAAAAGGCATAAAAAAGCAAGACTGGAGTATGCCAAAACTTATGTGACAAAACCACAATCCTTCTGGGAGAATGTACTGTGGACAGATGAGACAAAAGGAGAGCTTCTTAGTCAAGGACATCATGGCACTGTTTTCAGAAAAAGAAATGAGGCATTCAAAGAAAAGAACACAGTCCCTACAATCAAACATGGTGGACATTCAAAGATGTTTTGGAGTTGCTTTGCTTCTGGCACTGGGTACCTTGACTGTGTGAATGGCATCTGAAATCTGTTGATTACCAAAGAATTTTGGGCAACTTAGTGGCCAGTGTCAGAAAGCTGCATCTCCACCAGAAGTCATGGGTCTTCCAGCAGGACAATGACCCGAAAAACACTTCAAAAAGCACTCAGAAATGGTTACAGGCAAAGTGCTGGAGAGTTCTGAAATGGCCAGCAATGAGTCCAGATCTGAATCCCATAGAACACCTGTGGTGAGATCTCAAAAGAGCAGCTGGGAGAAGGCATCCTTCAAATCTGAAGGCCCTGGAGCAATTTGCAAAAGAAGAGTGGTGCAGAATTCCAGTCGAGAGGTGTAAGAAACTCATTCATGGTTACAGGAAGCGATTGATTTCACTTATTTTTTCCAAAGGGGGTGCGACCAAATATTAAGTTAAGGGTGCCAATACTTTTGGCCAGTGCATTTTTGGGTTTCTGTGTGGGATTGTATCAGATTTGACTTTTATTCTCTGCTTTTTTGTATTGTTCCAACGCAAACCAAAGAAATGAACATGTGAGTACCAAAACATTTGCAACTGCAACAATTTTCTGAGAGAAGGGTTGCATTTTCTGACAGAATTGCAAGGGTGCCAATATTTTTGGCCATGACTGTATACAAGTATTTATTTGGTAACTGAACATTGTGTTTTTCTTCCATTTCCTATCCAGTATGTGATATCTTGTCATTCATTAAAACATACTTTTGGGAGGAGGGGCAGCAAAATACTATGTTTGAAAAAAAAAGAAGCTGTAAATTTTCTTGGGAGTTGTTGGACTTCCAAATAAATGTTAGATTACAAATCACCGTGGATAGTGATAGATATTTATTAGAGATGAGGGTATTCAGATTTGTATGTGAATGTGAATATCCCCGCATAGCTGAATTTAACAAGGGTCCGACCCCTGGGGCCGGACCATCCACTCATGTCTGGGAGTGGCCCCTGTGAATGTGAATATCCCCGCATAGCTGAAGTTAACAAGGGTCGGGCCCCTGGGGCCGGACCATCCACTCACTTGTCCAGGAGTGGCCCCCTCTTCCAATCGCTCTGGAGTGCTGCTTGTCTAGCCACCCAGCAGCCTTACCGTCTTCCTTCCAATCACTCTGGAGTGCTGCTTGTCTAGACACCCAGCAGCCTTACCAGGAGACTCGTCCTCCCTCTGTCTGCCAGGAGTGGCTAGCCAGCCAGGAAGAGAAAGGCGTTTGGGAGCAATTGGAAGGATGAGTGGGGCTGCTGCCGCCATCCACCATGTGAGCGGACAGTCCAGCCCCAGGGACTGGACCCTCATTAATTCCAGCTATACCGAGATAATCGTATACGTATACTAATATTTATATAGTAAGAACTATTTTTAACTGGGCCCGGTTAAAAATAGAAAAACAGTGGGGAAAAACTGAAAGGAAGGTAAAGAGCTGTCTGGAAAGTATCTCCATGAATTTGCACTTCAATCTGCATAAAAGAAGGGAAGGATTTCATTGATAACATGACTGTGTTATATAGGTGTATATTTGAAAATTACTACATTGAACCAGTTTTGGATGAAGTTATATGTGAAACGTATGGAGCAGGATTGCTCCTGTTTCTCATGCTCATTGGGCTTGTGTGTCTTTCATATGGATGTTCTGTTGTAATTGGCTAGCAAGATCTGATGTCTAATCTTGGATAAGCGGAATGGGTAAACTCCTTTAATCAAGGATTATAATGGCTGTTATCTGCCTCCTAAGAGAAGAGCCAGCCTGTGTGGCCATGGGCAAGCTGCACAGTCCCAGACCACCCGCCAAAGAAAGGAATGGTAAACCATTTCTGAGGATATCTAGAATACCCTGGAAAAGGTTGCCATAAATCAGAATTGACTCAACAGCACATGATTTATTATTGTGTATTGAACTGTGTTAAAACATATAAGACCATTATGTAATATATAATTGAAAACACTATTTTCCCTTTGTCATAGATTCCAAATGGAAAGAACTCAGTCAGGTAACAGCTGACAGACAGAAGAAACTGGAAGAGTCATCAAATTATCTGACCCAGTTCCAGACAACTGAGACTCAATTAAAACAGTGGCTAGCGGAAAAAGAATTAATGATCAGTGTGCTGGGACCACTGTCAGTTGATCCAAATATGCTGAACACCCAGAAACAGCAAGTTCAGGTGAACATTTGATTCCACTGCATTTTATTTTGTAGAATTTGCATTTTTATTTCGTTTGTTGAAAATCTCACCAGTACATGAAATTTAGTTTGCTTTTTTCAATTTTAGAACCTGTTGGGAGAAATGTGGCATATAAATAAAACTAATAAATAAACAAACAAATAAATAATTCACAAAGTACATATCGTAGATTAAAGAATCATCATTTTTCTGGAAAACTGTACCGGCTCCATCCCTCAAAGGAGAGATAATATATTTACACCTGAGTATTATTTCTTCATAGATGTGTTAACACTTGATTTTTCAAACCCCATGGAGCAGGCTGAAACATTCTAGGCCTGTAATCACATTTGGTTGGGGACTCCATGTCACCTGGACAGTTTTCTGCAGTGTTTGTAAGATTCAGCCATTTTCAGCACACCATGATACAAAGAAGCAGTATTGACACAACTCTAGTTGTCAGTAGGTTGCCTGTATTAAAAGCAAGAGCACTGGAATCCTCAATGGAGTCGGAAAATGCAGAAAGTATACAGTAAGCCTTATCCTTAATCCTGGTCTATATTATATTGCTGTCCCTATTGCTAACTTTCAGCACACTAGAATTTTCATTTTGGGTCAGAAAAGCACTTGTTAGATCTGAGAGAAGGCTTAAATGTAGTTATATGGCTTTCACTGTTTTTTGTTAGGATGGGAGTAAATAGGAAGAAAACACTATTAGACATACTTCATAATAGAGGAAATTCTTCTGACAAACTTAATTATGGGAGTGATAAAAATGAGGTGTAAACAAGGTCCAGAAATGAATGGGATTTAAGGCAGTCATTATTTCGTTTTAATCTTATTTTTTAAAAAATCATACCACTCTCTGTTATGGCTAAAAGTGGTATGATTTAAAAAAAAGATTAAAAAGAAAGATTAGCACCTTTTTAATAATCCAACACAAATTTAACAGGTATGAATCACACATTAATTTGGCAGTTTTCCAGATATCATGATTGGGGCCAAATTAAATCTTACATGGGCACAAACAAGGTCCCATTGTATCACTCCCTTGCAATGCTGTTGTGGAGTCTGTAGAGACATTTGAAGAGGAAAAATTGGGAGGTGCACTGTAGGTAGTTATGCTTTTCCCTCTAATTGATTCTTCTTCTAAACAACCCCCCCCCATAGGTTTTTTCCCAGTTGGTTTCCAAAACCACAAGTGAGATCTGGCAGGGAGAAAACATATTTGGGAACATTACCTGGTTGGCTCAGCACCCTTAGAAGGCTTTACTCTTGCCTGCTTGCCAGTACTTCTTTCTGACTCTGGCATTGTTTATCATACTGGCAAACAAGGGTGCAGGAGGAGCCGTTTGTTGAAATAAGGTCTGCTGTCAGAATGCAAGCAGAATACAAAGTCTAGTTCACAACTCATTTCAATCTTCTGTGACATGCTTCACCTTTGTTTGGTTACTTCAAACATTAAGCAATTCACCTTATTTCAAAAAATGTCTGCTTCTGGATCCATGTTTGCCAGTATGATTCAGTCACTTCAAATATTGCTTAATGTTTAAAGTGGCTGAAAAAAGCTGGGATTGAAAAACCAGACATTGTGTGGTGCTGTCTCACTGTAATTATTTTGATATTTTAAAAACTCTCCATATTATAAATGTGGGATATTGTGTTGCTGTATTCACAAGTCCAAGCACCAGGAAAAGGCCCAATGTTTCCGCACATTACTGTTCCCATGTTGGCAGCAGGAAGAACGATGCCAAGCTTTACATAGCAAAGGCCAGCCTGAATGTTGATGATATCAATGGCAACAGTCAAGAGGGTCTACAGAATCCCCTCTTGTGTGCTCACTACCATTCACAAAGAGACTCCCAGCATGGGAAAATTCCAGAAGCTGACTCCTTTTTTCATCAGTTAATCATTTCTCACCCAAACACAAAGCAACTGTCATGGCTGTTTTTTGACAAGTGTAAAGCTTGACAGATTTGGTACAGAGCAAGAGCGGATTGTCTGCGACAACTGTACTAAATCTGGTGGTGACCTGAAGTCCACTTTTAAAGTCATAACTTTTTGGTTGTTGTGGGTTTTTCGGGCTCTTTGGCCGTGTTCTGAAGGTTGTTCTTTCTAACGTTTCACCAGTCTCGGTGGCCAGCATCTTCAGAGGACAGCTCTCTGTGCTCTGGTGTAGTTTGCTTGAGAGTAGAGTATTTATGGCTGTGAGATAGGCTTTTGTTCTTTTCAGGAGATGGGTGAGTAGTGTGTCTTGTTGTGGGTGTATTGTTGTGATAAGGAGGAGAGATTATCTGTCACAGTGATTGATGGGTGTCATTAGCAGGTCTTTTGTGTGTAATGATCCCCTGTCCTTGTGGCTGAGTAGAGTTTGTTGACCTTTTGCACGCTGTATCTTTCAGAGCTGGGAGCCAAGTTTTGTTGAGTTTCAAACTTTCCTCTTTTTTGCTGAAGTTCTGCTGGTGCAGAACATGGCCAAAGAGCCCAAAAAACCCACAACATCCATTAGATCCCGGTTGTGAAAGCCTTTGCGAATCATAACTTTTTGTTTGAGCTGCCCACATTTTTAGAATTGCCTTATAGAATGTTGATTTGCTCTGTCAGTGCAAGATCACTCCTGCATTGCTGGAGCTGAAAAAGAATGCATGGATTATAGCAGTAGGTGAGCAGGTGTCTGGACCAGACTGAATATAGGCGAATATACCTTTTATATGACACAGACAGAACACTTTTTTCTGTTTTTTATAACCCAGAGCTATTTCATACTCAACATATTAGGATGCTAAAGTGTATATTACCAATTTGCGATAGGCATTTTCTTTTATTTTTCTGAAATGTTTACATCCTTTCTCTTACCAGATTTTGCTCAAAGAGTTTGATACTCGAAAGCCCCAATATGAACAGTTAAGTACAGCAGGACAAGGAATACTGGAAAGACCGGGTGAACACCCACCATCTCATGAAACAGTGAAGCAACAGCTAGCCGCTGTAACACAGAAATGGGGTGACTTAACTGGACAGCTAAGTGACCGACATGGCCGAATTCACCAGGCCATTGTCAAAAGCACAGAATATCAAAACTGTCTGAGAAGCCTTTCTGAAAAATGTAGTGCCCTGGATAATAAACTCAGTCAGAGTCTGGCTGTAAGTACAGAACCTGATGCTGTGAAGCAGCAGCTTGAATTGGCGCGAGAAGTGAAAGAAGAAATAGAAAAGGAAATGCCGAACATAAATACTGCTCAAGTTTTGTGTGAGGAATTGTCAGCGTTGGTAGCTGAAGATTACTTGAAAGCAGAACTTTCTAGGCAACTAGATGGTGTCTTAAAACCCTTTAAGGATATGGAACAAAAAGCAGGTTAGTGGCAAAATGAAAGAAGAAAAGCAGGAACACACAGCACTGGGGAAACTAATTTTTTTAAAAAAAGAATACTGATTTCTCAAAATTCAAAGTATAATTATCACAGAAACAGTTTAAAGACATGGCTAGGAAGATGTGTACTGACATCTAAGGGCTAGTGTTTATAGATGCATGGTAGTGATGATGGTTGGGAAGGCCCACATTTTTCTTGCCTGTATTAAACCCATAGATCTCTTATTTCATTGACACTAGTGGTACTCATGCTCATCAAGGAGTGATTCTCCTATCATGAGTTACTGTTTTCTTGTTGCTCCTTAGAGTAGGGACAGAATTGAGGCAAACTGATTACGTATTTCATTCACCTAGTTATATTGTCTTACATATATTGCAACAGTTTAAGGCAAACTTTGCTGGAAGCTCTAACACAACAGTCCCCAACTATTTTAGCCCCGCGGACCTGCTGGGAAAGGTGGGGCACCCCCCTGCGCTTATGCGTAAAAGTGCGTGCGTACTTGCACGCAGGCGCACTGGCGCTCATGGACAAAGGGCAGTGCAGCACTCGTGTGGGCATGCATGCGTGCGCAGGCACAAACGGGCTGTGCAGGGGGGGTGCGGTGGGAGGTCTCTCTCCGCGGCTCAGTCCAGCTCAGGCCATGGACTGGCACTGGACCGCAGACCAGGGTTTGGGGACCTCTGCTCTAGCATATTGAGAAATAAGTCACAGCATAGGAAGAAGTCCTGAGTTTCAGACTCAGCCAAAGTGTTCCTGTGAGATGATCCATAGCATCATAAAAGGGTTTGAAGTGATCTTTGACTGTACTTTCTTTCACTGGGTTTTGAGGTAGTGTTCAGGTTTTGTAGTAAATCTCACATTTGTCCTGTTTTTACAGAGGTAGTTGGGAGATACGTCTTGATATTAGTGATTATACCATGCTGGGCATATGGCTAGGTCTTGCCTCTGAAGATTGACCTGTTGTGAAGTGTTTTGTTCTTCCGGATATTTATATGTTTTTATATACTGCAAAATTACTTTATAGGCTAGTTTTCTTCAAATATAACAAACACTATTTTCTTGTGCCAGCAAGATCTAGTGATAAAAAGTGTTGCATGAAATTGCTCAAGTTGAAATAAGAAATGTTGTCTTAGAACATAGCATTTCCCACTGACTGAAATAAAATCCACCATAATCCTAGCAGGAAGCACCTTGCAGACAAGGATTTTAAAAATATTTTGTTTTGGCTTTCTTTTCTGCAGGCAATCACATTGAACAACTTCAGTCAACTTACGTTAGTTCTCATCAGTTCCAGCAAATGTCTAAGGAATTTCAGGCCTGGTTGGATAAAAAGAAAGAAGAACAGAGTAATTTCTGTCCCATCTCTACCAGGCTCGAGACTTTGTGGTCATTAATTGATGATCAGAAAGAGTTCAAGATGACGTTGTCTGACAAGATTGGTTCTTATGACAAAATAATAGCTGAAGGTGAAAGTTTGCTGCAGAAGATTCAAGGGGCAGAGAAGGCAGAGCTGCAGTCCCAGTTGAACTTACTTAAAGGTAACTGGGAGGAAATGAACAAGCAAGTTAAGGAAAGGCAGGATAAATTAAATGATTGTCTGGAAAAAGCCCTCAGATACAAAGAGCATGTAGAAAATCTGCAACCCTGGATAGCAAAGTGTCAAAGCTACTTGTCTGAAATCAAGATGGGTATCGATCCTGTGGAACTAGAGAATTCCATCACTCAAGTAAAAGCCTGGCAGAAGGATTTAGACAAGCATCAAGGGATGGTGGAGCTATTAAATAATGCGGCAGAGACTTTTCTCAGTGCTTGTGAGACAGATAAAGACGTTATTGAAGAGGAGAAGAATCTGCTGATTGAAAAAATGGATAAAATCACAGAAGAATTGCAAACAAAGCAAGACAGACTGGAAACAATGTTACAGAAACTGAAAGAGTTTCAAGAATCATCCAAGGAAATTCAAGAGCAGTTGAAGAATTCCAGGGAGCACCTGGAAGTGCATGATGCTCTTAAACCCCAGACGTACAGCAATAAACATTTGACAATAATGCAGACTCAGCAGAAAGTACTCCAGACCTTAAAGACTCAAGTGGACCTGGCCAAAAAGCTTGCCCAAGAACTAGTGGTGGATGCTTCGGATTCAGCAGGTGTCTGTGATATCTTATTGCAAGCAGAAGCATTGGAAGAAGAGTACAACACTGTCAGCCAGGAGACTGAAGATAAATGTTCCTTCCTGGAGACTAAACTCCAAGGAATTGGCCATTTCCAAAACACCATCCGGGAGATGTTTTCTCAGTTTGCGGAATTTGATGATGAGTTGGATAGTATGGCATCTGTGAGCAGGGATCTTGTCACACTGCAGGCACAGCGGGAGGATATCAAAACATTCTTGAAAAAATTAGAGGAGCTCATAACCAGTAATGAAAATGCAAACAAAATGTGTAAAGCCATGTTAGCAAGTGAAGCTGAAGCTTCTCCTGATCTAGTGGGAATAAAAAGAGACTTAGAGGCTTTAAACAAGCAATGCAACAAGTTACATGATAGAGCAAGAGCTAGAAAAGAACAAATTGAAGGGACCATTAACCGTATGGAAGAATTCTACAGTAAACTAAAAGGGTTTTCCAGTCTTCTGGTAGAAGCTGAAGAACATGAAGATTCCCAAGGTCCTGTTGGAATGGAAACAGAGACTATTAATCAACAGCTGAATGTATTTAAGGTAAGGATGTTCTTCATTACTGCAGTACAAATCTTAAAACACTCTATTACAAATCAATGTCTGAATAAAACCAAAATTAACATTGGTTATTATTGTGAAATGGGAACTGTTCATGATCTTTACTCCATGTGCTTATGCCCATTGAGTGTACACTGTCCAATTAATTTGTTAAGAATTACAATCAAGTTATTTTTCATTGGTCCCAATAGAGGGAGCTTTTTGTCTCTCGTATTCTCAGTTCTGACATTGATTCCTCTCTATGCTTTTTCAGCTCATGGTCTAAAACTTTGCTAGTAAGCAAAATCCTTTTTGATGAATCAAAGTCTTCCCACTGGAGTGTTAAAGAAGAAATAAATAAAAAGGCCGAGAAATAGCTTCATCTTAAAATGTTTAGTTGTGTTGTAAAGATTACTCTTGTAGTTGTCAATCAGATGGGGAACTCCTATCACATGCTTTTTTGGTCTTTAGAATTTACTGTTTGAGAGTTGTTGCCTGCTATATGAAATTGTTTTTAATTCTGTGGCATGTAGCAAGTGGGAAACTGAGGGTTCCCTTCTCTTTTGATAAAGCAGTTCTGAAAACATTACATCTGCTAAATAATTACGTTGATCCTGTAGCTTTGGAGAGCTTCAGCTTCCTGCTTTTAGAAAATACAGTACCTCCTCTTTCTATACCACAATTACTGGTCATTTTAATACAGGCCACAGAACAAGCAAAGTACAAATACTGTACACTGAGTCGTTAGTCTATCCAAATGTCCAGAAGGCCTGCAGACTATGTGAATACTCAGGAGCTGCAGAACAAAAAATAATTTAATCTTGAGGTTGGGATTCTCTTAAAATTCTTAGATTTCCGTTGCTGTTTGTTGTGTTGCCCTTTTCAGGAGGCTCAATGCTGCTCTAACAGAAGAGTAAGTTTAGTAGATGTTAGAGTGGAGCTAGGGAATAAGCAAGCATAAACATTCCCTCTTCCACCATGCAAAAGGCCGCCGTAATCCTTATTTGAGAGGAAAGCAAACCACAGGTACCAGTATGCAGGAAGAAATAGCTCCTACCCTGAAGAGTAGGAGCTATTCAAAATAAGTAATAAAGAAAGAATTGCTGAACAAACTGCAGTTCAAGTATTCTTTCTGACAGCTGGCAGGTACAGATGTATCTGTATTAGATATTTATTTCATTCATTGACTGTATGTTATGAAATATTTAGTCTTCCTGTGCCAAAGTGAAGGTGAGGTCAAGCAAAGGCCTGGATGAAAGCCAAGGAGACTGAGATAAGCATTTGTTACTGGGAGTTGTCCAACAGTCACAACCTGGGATGATGCCAGGGATTAGGTACACGGGGGGGATCTAACCAAGCTAGATTCTTAAGATCAGGAAAAGTACCAGTCTGTAAGCCAGGGTAAACCGATGGAGCAAGGAGATGAGGTGAGGGAAAGGCAATGGGCCAATCACTGTGCAATTGTTTTGTTGAAGCATAGTTCTGGTTTCTGTCTTGTAACCCAGGCTCCCATCCAAGAACACTCTCTGACAGAATTTATTTTGGTCCCTGGTAAGCCCAAGGTTCTCCAATGTCTGAAGGGGAAAAATTACTCTGCAGTAGACTCCAGGTCCTAAGCTTACATTTTATAATGGCTTGCAAGGGAAACAGAAATATCCTAACATAATCTTGCAGGACAGAATATGCCCTTCTGCTCTACAGAAGAGTAACTTACCACTTGCTTTTCTTACCTGTCATCGTACTTTGTAAATGAAATTCTAGACTGGACTACTGTGATTCTTGATATGGCACTGCCCTTGAAAAACATTTGGAAAATTCAGTATCTCCAGGGTTTTTCTTACTGCCACCACCTCTTTGCCTGGGCTAGGCAGATTGATTGATAGACTGACTGACTGACTGACTGATTGATTGATTTACTTATAGGCCAGGTTTCTTCAGATAAGGGGGGGGGGACTCCAGGCAGCTCAGAGTATTAAAAACAATAAAATTAAAATCACAATAAGTTATGAATATAAAAACAGTTAAACTGTATAACTGATTAAAATACCCTGAATGATTAAAAACATATAAAATGTTAAAAAAAACCTTCTTAACTAAAAAAATGGCATCATGATTGTTAAAAGTCTGCCTGAAAAGGTGGGTATTGAACTGTCGGCACATATGATTCTAATGTTACTTTCCCCTGCACTGGCTACATACTCATTTCTGGGCGCCATTCAAAATACTGCATTTGCACTTTAAGTGACTAACAGTTTAAGTGACTGGCTTCTTCCATATATTTAGTTCTGGCGATTCCAGTCAATATTGCCCTTGGACAGAATGTGGTTTTGCTTATGCAAGGAGGACATTGTCGACTCTGGTAGGAATACTTTGAATGCCCTCTCTATGAAACCCTGTCTGGCCCCTTCACTGTGTACATTTATTCAACTTGTTATAACATGGCTCTGAAGGAAAACATTTAGGGAAGATTGAAGGCTGTTTGCAATCTTTCTGTTACTGCAATTATAGTAATTAACTCGTTGCTTGCTGTTTTATTGTGTGGTTTTCATTGTTTGCTGCTTTTGATTATGTTTATGTTTTTTTCTATTGGACTACAGCATTGGAGAAAAGACAGGAAGTAACTTTTTTGAATAAACAAAGAAAATTTACTCAGTCAAGCTTGATGTGGTTGCCTTTTATAGTTTACTGAGGCCTGCACAGATTAATTCATGTAGTACCAGTGCAGATACCCTCATGGGAAGAGATAAAAGGATGTCAGCTGTGACTTAGACATGAAGGATGATTCCTCCATTGTCTTCTGCACCTACTAAAATAGATTTTTCCTCACTATGCACTGGGACACACTAGTGTGCTGCAAGAATAGCTGGTTTGTTTTGGGAAACTAAACCACCATATTGGATGCATCCACCTTTCACACTCTTGTCAGAACAGGAAAGCCACTGCTACAGTGGACCCTCGACTTATGGAATTAATCCATATTGGAACGGTGGCTGCAGGTCGAAAAGTCTGTAGGTCAAGGCTCCATTGAGCTACACTGCATTGAAAACCAATTAATCCCGTAACAGGCCGGTTTTGTTCCATTTTGGGTTTTTTTCCTGGTCTGTAGGTCGATTCTCCGGCTGCAAGTCGAACCTAAATTTTGCAACCAGAGAAGTCTGTAACTCGAAAAGTCTGTAAGTGGAGCCGTCTGTAAGTCGAGGGTCCACTGTATTATGTATCCTCCTTCTCTCTCCCAATATGTGGGCAGAGCCATCAGTGACAGGCTAAAGATGCATTGGGATGCCTTCTGTTGCAACCCAAGGTACAGCGGACAGATGTAAAAGAGTCTCATGAACCTTGATGTTTCCCCTGAAAGCATGAGGTCTTGCTCCTGTGTCATGACTGAATGGGTAAAATAGGGAGGATGTTGGGAAGGAATAACACCCTGTGCTAACTAAAGCCTGCAAGGGAACTATGACTGCTGTTTGTTCAGACAGTGGATGGATAAAATACATTACTTTTTAAAGTGGAGAATAAAGTATTCAGATAAGTCTTAGTATTCCAGGAATCAAAGCTTTGGGAAATACTAATAGATTGCTTTTACGGTATTGGGGGAGAGTATGCCTGTATATATGTGAGTACTGTATGTAAGTGTACTGAATGATGTGATTTTAAAAAAAGTTCAGCATGCTCTTTTCTGAGGCTTCCTTGCTATCTCTGGCATCTTTGGGCAGGATGTGTTCAGCTTTTGCAGCAATGTATTTTGGCAGCAGTTAACACACACAGCCTTGTAAACTTCTGCTCTTGGACTGTAGAGCTTAACCTGTTTCCTCGTTGGTAACATCTGACTCAGGTTATGGGAGGGCAACTTGACTGGGTTTAAAAATACACTTCTCAAGATCATTTCAAATGACCTTTCGAGGTCTAAAGACCTTGACACAGGCACCTGTTGGAGAGGAGAGGGAATAGATTGTTGTTAATGTTTTGTTTTCTTAATTATGTTGTGTTAAATTGCATTTTTTTTTACCCTTCCTATATTATAGATGTCTTTCAAGAGTAATGATCTTGGATTCTTTGAAACAGTATACTACACATCCCAATGTAGTAATACTTCCTGCAAGTAGTAGGTGGTCCCAAGTTCCTCAGAGTATAGAATTGTGAAGATAAGTGGATAGCATGAACAAATTGGTAGTGTGACTAGTCAGTCTCTTTAGAACTGATATTTATATATTTTAAAATGAATATAATCAATCCCCTATTTTGGATTATTGCTCTCAGGGAGCTAAGAAGCTCTGGTTGTTTTCAGAATGTATCTGTTTGTGTTTTTAGTGCAAAAGAGGGCTTTTCAAAGAAAATCTCTAGAACAAATCTTTGAGTGTTTCCAATCAAATCTCCTTTTTTTTTAGTCACCTTCAGTAGCTGGCATATTGTATTTCATGGTGTTCTTCTTTCTGTTCATTTTAGCACAGATCTTTGTCCTTTAGAGAAAGTACACATTGAATACGTGGATGAAAGGAAATTCAGCAGATGAACTTGCTTTACTCAGTTACACCATGTCTGTTTCCTTACAAAGAGCCAAACAGTTGAGATAGTCCTCAGTTGGTTTATCTTTTGCCTGATTGTTTTCCTGAGCTACTTTAGTCTTTTGGGGGTGGGGCAGAAACAGGATTAAGTCATTGCCATATAATTACAATCCTTAAAATGTTTGCAAAATATTTCAGTAATAATCCCTCTACACTTGTTTTTATTATGTACATGCAATTGGTGTCAGCTTTCATCATTTAACAGCTCATTAAGTTCATTTCCCCTCCCTTTCTAGACCATGACTGGAGGCCGCTGCTTGAAAGGGCCATTTCAGTATATTTTCAGTGTTCAAATATGTGTCAGGAGGTATCTTCTAATTGCACTTCTTATGAGATCTGGGTCTAGATTAATATTTCAGTTGAGGAGCTTGGACTAATATTTAAATTGGTTTAGACTGGTTGTGTAGATGCTGGACTCTTACTTTGTTTAATTAAATCAAA